ACGGATTGTTGGATAATAATGCAAGCAAGATTAAAACACATAAATGAATCATAAAGGTGTTCCGTGGAGCGTTTGTGGTGCTAAAAGGCGAAAAGATAGCAGTAAACTTGTACATGTTGAAGGGAGAGACTTTACTAGAAGCAGAAGCCTCTGTTTCCTCATGTAGTTCAGATTCTGCAATGCTATGGCATCAGAAACTTGGACACATGTCAGAACAAGGAATGAAAATCCTTGTGGAGAAAAAGCTACTTCCGGGCTTAACAAAAGTATCACTTACTTCGTGTGAGCATTGCATAACAAGTAAGTAGCACCGGTTGAAATTCAACACATCAAATTCTAGAGGCAAAAGTGTTATAGAATTGGTTCACTCTGACGTATGGCAAGCACCAGTTACATCCCTAGGTGGAGCAAAGTACTTTGTCTCATTTATTGATGACTACTCCAGGAGATGTTGGGTGTAAACTATTAAGAAGAAGTCAGATGTGTTTTCAATTTTCAAAAACTTCAAAGCGCGGGTGGAACTTGATTCTGGAAATAAGATCAAGTGTTTCAGAACAGATAATGGAGGAGAATACACAAGCGAAGAATTTGATGACTTTTGCAGGAAAGAAGGCATCAAAAAATAGTTCACAGTGGCGAACACTCCTCAACAAAATAGAGTGACAGAGCGGATGAACAGAACCTTGTTAGAAAGAACAAGAGCAATGTTGAGGGATGCAGGCCTAGAAAAAATATTATGGGTAGAAGCAGTCAATATCGCCTGTTATTTGGTGAATCGAGCTCCATCAACTGCAATAGAGCTAAAGACACCAATGGAGGTGTGGACTGGTAAACCAGCTGATTATTCAAACCTCCATGTATTTAGAAGTATTGTGTATGTGATGTACAACTCCCAAGAAATTTCAAAGCTATTTCCAAAATCCAGGAAATGCAAATTCTTGGGATATGCTGATGGTGTAAAGGGGTATCGCTTATGGGATCTCACTGCCCGTAAAGTGATCATTAGCAGGGATGTTATCTTTGTAGAAGATAAGCTATAAAGAAAAAAAGAAAATGGTAGCGCTGAAAAGTCAGAGACTATACAGATACATATGGAAAAGGATGTTGAACAAAGAGATTCTTCTAAAGAAGAACCAACATATGATGAACAAGAACCAAAGAGTTCTGAAGCTCCAACAACTCGTCAATCAGATCGTGTGAGAAGACGTCCCAATTGGCACTCAGATTATGTTATAGAAGGAAATGTTGCATACTGTCTTTTAACAGAGGACGGTGAACCATCAACATACCATGAGGCAATAAACAACTCAGATGCTTCACTGTGGATGATGGAGATGCAAGAAGAAATTGAAGCCCTTTTTAAAAATAATACATGGGACCTTGTGTCACTACCACAAGGAAGGAAGCCAATTGGTAACAAATGGGTCTTCAAAAACAAGCGAAATGGTGACGATCAAGTTGAGAGGTATCGTGCAAGACTGATGATCAAATGATATGCTCAAAAAGAAGGTATTGATTTCAATGAAATATTTTATCCTGTGGTTTGACTAACAATAGTTCGAGTAGTTTTGGCAATGTGTGCTACATTGAATTTACATCTAGAGCAGCTAGATGTTAAAACAACTTTTCTTCATGGAAATCTTGAAGAAGAGATTTACATGCTTCATCCTGAAGGTTTTGAAGAAAAAGAAAAGAAGAACTTAGTTTGCAGGTTGAACAAATCTCTGTACGGTCTAAAGCAGACGAGGTGTTGGTATAAGAGATTTGTTCCTTCATTATGTGCCTTGGATACAACAGACTTAATCAGACCCTTGTGCTTATTTCAGAGGTCTGGCGATAACGATTTTGTTATATTGTTGTTGTATGTGGATGACATGTTGGTTGCAGAACCCAATAAAGATCATATTAAAGAATTGAAGGCACAACTGGCTAGGAAATTTGAAATGAAGGACTTGGGATCAGAAAACAAGATTCTAGGGATGCAAATTCACCGAGACAGAAGCAATAGGAAGATTTGGCTTTCACAAAAGAATTACTAGAAAAAGATCTTGTCACGATTCAACATGCATGATTGTAAGCCAATTTTTACCCCTCTTCCTATTAACTTCAAATTATCCTCCAGTATGAGTCCTAGCAGTGAAGAAGAGAGGATGAAGATGTCTCGAGTACCGTATGCATCAGCAGTGGGAAGTTTAATGTTTGCTATGATATGCACAAGACCAAACATTGCACAAGCAGTGGGAGTGGTTAGTCAGTACATGGAAAATCCAAGCAAAGAGCATTGGAATACAGTAAAGAGGATCCTGAGATACATCAAAGGGACCTCAAATATTGCATTATGTTACGGATGATTAAACTTATTTATCAATGGGTATGTTGATTATGAATATGCAGTGGATTTGGATAAAAGCAAATCTACTACAGGATATGTGTTTAAAGTTGCTGGTGGAGCTGTAAGCTGAGTTTCAAAATTACAGTCAGTTGTGGCTACATCCACAACAGAAGCAGAATATGTAGCAGCTACACAAGCCAGTAAAGAAGCAATTTGGTTGAAGATGCTATTGGAGGAGCTTGGGCACAATCAATAGTATGTATATCTATTTTGTGACAGTCAAAGCACCTTGCATCTAGCAAGGAATCCAGCATTTCATTCAAGGACAAAGCACATACGTGTTCATTACCATTTCATTCTTGAAAAAGTGGAAGAAGGGACGATAGATATGCAGAAGATCCATACCAAAGATAACATAGCATATTTCATGACGAAGGCAATCAATGCTGATAAATTTACCTGGTGTCGATCCTTCTGTGTCCTGACAGAAACGTAAGCAACATGAAGGTACAAGGTAGAAAAAATGGTGTGAAGATATGATTGTTCCAATCAAATCTTCAAGTGAGAGATTGTTGAAAATACATGCCACCGAAAGTGCCAAGCAAGTTGGCATGAATAGTCAAACAATATTAATGCACCGAAAGTTTGTTTGGTTTTTAGTTGAATTTGGACAATGGTAAAATCTCAATTTTAGTCATTGTAATTTAGAGTATTTACAAATTAGTCCTTAAGCTTCAACTATAAATACCCTAGCTCATTTAGCTTCAAAACCATCTCAAATCATTCTAGCTTTCTTCCAATACTAGAGAGAATTTTGAGAGTTTCTTGAGATTTGTTTTCTCATTTTTATCAATAGAGAATTATCATTGTTTTCTCCTTGAGAGATCGAGAGAAGTTGTCATTCCTATTTTCTCATAGTGAAATTCTTCTACCGTTGCCCGAGGTTTTTTACCCTATATTATTTAGGGGTTTTCCACGTAAATTTTATCTCTTTTATCTTCATTTTTATTTTCTCAAATTATCAGTTGCGATTTTTGTTCTATCCGATAGCCGTCTTTCGTAACAGGAACATGAGTTTGACTCCTTGAGTCGGATCTTATGTGGATTGTGTCGCAAACATAACGTCCCCGTTCTGTCGCTGTATCGCGGTACTTTGAATGGGACAATTCCCAAAGATATTATATCATTCACTTGGTTCTAATATCCGCACGCTTAAACTTCACTTGATTGTAGGAGAAGGTTGTTTACACCACGATTACTCCACGAGCTAGTTCAGGACTGAACTGACGTTAACTGAATCATCATCTTTTCTTTTTGCCAACTCTTTTTAATGTTTGGTCTGTAGAGGACCGAATATGACTGTCCCACCCCTAAAAATATTTATAGAAAAGCTTTTACCTTTTTTTTTCCTTTTCAAATTGATTAGTCACTATGCTGCTCAAACCCCCTAAGGCTCCTTCCCTCTCACTTGTTTACTTTATTAAATGATTCTGCACTTGATCCTCTTTCAGGAACCCAGCAGTGTTGATAAAACTATGGAAATTGATAAGCATATAGGATTATGTTGATTGCTGATGTACGTACACTCGTTGAACATGCACGAGTCGAGACTCAGGTACAATACTTATTACTGTTGTTACACTTTGATATGAATTCATGTGTTACATTCACACAGAACCACAGATTTTCATATGGTGAACCATTGACAGTTGAGTCCACAACACAAGCTCTTTGTGATCTGGGTCCTTGGATTTGGTGAAAGAGATGAAGAATCAATGGTATACCTGCATATCTTTTCTGCATAGTTGTAGCTATTTTAATTTCTTTTGTTGTGCTGCTTTTTGCTCTTCTTGACAAGTAATAAAGGGAGGAGGGTACATTATGGTATCATACACATGACATGGCTTCCATGCTCCAACCTATTTGATCCAAGGCTGCATTGTAACGAATTGGTTAAATTCATTCTCAGTTACTTCCAACTTCTTTTTTGCAAATATATACATATATATATATATATATATTAAATTTAGTGAGAATTGAAATTTTTTAAAGTTTAGTAAGCAAAATAAAAAAGAGTAAAATTCAGTGATGAAATTTGTAATTTACCCTTATTTTAAACCTAATATTTTATGCATAATATTATTTTCACTAAAAATATTATTTACCAAAGTTCTTTAAACTGTCATTAGTTATATACAAATATTATTTTAGGTATTAATTTTTTTAAAAGATAATATTTGGATAAAAAAAGGCCCCTGATCCAAAACTCAAATTTCATTAACAAAAATTGACCTATCAAATCGGATCTTTTTCATCCCTAATATCTAGGGAGGATGGATTACACGTCTTTTGAAGTTGGACACTTGAATACATAAATATGAAAACAATCACATAAATTAATCTACAAACTTAATTCCATTAAAATTGTATATACTCAACTAGATAAACTTACCTAAGTACCAAGTTCGGAGGACAAAACATTCATCAACCATAAAAAAAAAAGGTTATAAAAGGATGAACACCATTAATCTGACCATTTTAAAGGCAAATTCAGTCGATAATAATCAACTGAGTAGAGAACATACAAGAACCGACGACAGATACGAATGGGAAATGGTTCAGATTGCATAACACCAACCATATTTAAACACACATATTTGCTCGCTCGTACAACTAGATAGTGATTTATTCATATAGTAGCATTACTCTGCTTACTGCCTACTTGAGTTCCTTAAGGAAGTCTTCATTGTCAACCAGGACCTGCAGACACAAAGCATAACCATATTTATAAGCTTGTCATCATTCCTCTAACACAAAGAAAAATGTAATATTCGGTTTTTGGTTTATCTACAGGTTGATGCAGGTTCGGGTCCTTTTCTCGCTTTAAAACTGTTCTATAAAAACACTTAAAATGCCCCCTAAACATAGCAGAGATTGGTGAAGTGGGTAAAAGCTTACAGTTTTCCAGCCATCGGGGTCTAGGAAAGAGGTAATTTTAGTGTTGATTCCGGGGAGTGGCCCTGGTTTTCGAGTAACCTTTCCACCAAGCTCTTGAATAACATGTTCCACAACCTCACCACTTTTGTACACGTCATCAGTACTAATAGCAATCTGGAATGGGGGCAATAATCACCCAAAAAAGGGCATTGGAATCAATACTAACATAGACTTTTGTTGCAAGATATAGCCACGTAGAAATGAGTTGAAAAATGACCTGTGCATATGCATTTCCCTTGGTATATATTCAGTCACTCCATAATTGTAAGTCAACTCAAGAACAGTAGTTTCGTGTTCCTCTGCATACCCCATCATGGCAATGGAGTACTGTTTGCACGCAACAAAAATGAGAGAGTTTAGTAAGCTTCTTCCATGGCTAAAGGATAACTTTCATATCTCGAGCTAGGGGTGTTCATTTTTCCGTTTTAACTGAATTAACCGATCGAACCGAATTAATTCGGTCGGGAACGGTTAACATTTTTTTCAATATTCGGTTAACAGTTAATTCGGTTTGAATCGGTTAACTAACCGAATTAACCGAAATTATTAAATATGAAATATATTATATATATTAAATACATATTTTAAGCTCAAACTCATTAAGAATTAAAGACTCAATTATTTTATAACCACACTAAACTCATTAACTTATCAATACCTAATTAAAGTTTTAACCCAAATAAAAAAATACTTCTATTATATTCAAAGTGATTTAATTAAAAAAATTATAATTTTTTTAAAAAAAATTCAGTTAATTCGATTAACCGGCCGAAATAACCAAACTTTGTTCGGTTAATATTTTCAAAAAAAAATCGGTTCGATTAACGGTTAAAGAAAAAAAGTTCGATTAATTCGGTTAATGGAAATTCAGTTCGGTCGGTGGTCAAATTAACTGTTTGAACACCCCTATCTCGAGCTAATAATCTAACCAGAAGAATCCATGTAGGACAGAATTTACCTTGTATTCAGGCCTGTCAACCTTCTTTACAAGCTTCATTCCCAAGGCCTGCAAAAGAAGCGAACAGATAGCGCAAGGAAATAACTAACTCGTCTAAAATTTAAAATAAAAAAAAAACAGTTCGGAGAAATGACAGCAAGTAGTCAGCATTAGGTCCAATAACAGTTTATGATCATGATTATTCTCCGATAAATAAAACTTCCATTTAAGTGATTCATGCACCAAAAGCACAATGAATTTGTTGTTCCAATTGAAAAAGAAGATTTGTCAGAGAAAAATATCCAAGAAATTTTTTTACTTCGCATTACCTTTTCATAGAATTTGACAGAGCGGTCTAAATCCCCAACGCGAAGCATTATTTGACAGAGTGGCTCAGGAGTAGAAGCTCTTTGGATGAGCTCAAAAATATAACCGTCAGGATCCTTCACAAAAGCAATGACAGAGGTTCCACCTTTGACCGGACCAGGCTCTCTAGTAATGTCGCCACCCTTAGCACGGATGTCCTCAACCATTTTGTACACCTAAAATACAAACCAAAATAGATATCTACATTTGCAATGAATATTTTTGCCTGAGTACCGTAATAAGTTCAAAACTTACATCAGGAGTTGCAATTGCAAAATGCCCAAAACCAGTACCAATATCATATGAAGTTACTCCATAATCTGTACACAATAACAAGAGATCTTAAATCTTAGAAACCAAACTAAAAAAAATGAAAGGTCCTCTGCTATTATCAGTATAAACTCTTTAGCTACCCCAAAGGTACACACTTGGATTAACAACAGTGAAATATGCCACAACAGAGATTGAAGATCTATAAGATATATTGAACAAAAAGGAATCAAAATGTTAACTGTTCGATTAAAAGAACGTACTGTATGTTAACTCGACAACGAAATGAGACTCCTCTGGGCCAAACCCAAGGAAGGCATTGGAGTATTTCTCTTCAGGAACATCTCTTTTCCTCAACAATTTCATCCCAAAACACTCAGTGTAGAACCTAAATACAAATTTGTATTAGAAAATATGCAAATCCAAAGCATCCAAAGTAAAACTCCAAACCATTAGTTAAAGCCAATTTCGAGTACGATCTAGACGGCCCAATCGCGTTCCTAAAAAAGAACCATAATTACTTGATGGTACGATCGAGATCTCCAACACGGTACACGGCGTGAAGGAACCGACGCTTATCTTTCTTCGGCCATTCCAACAACTCACTGCTGGGAACTGCAGCTGAACCCTCAGCCATCTTTGTACAAATCTGATTCCTCTGTAATCATTCACAAAGTCAACCAAATAGATCAAAAAACACTTGATAAAAGCTACCTTTTCATTTCAATTTTCAAATTTTTAATTGAAGATCAAACTAAAGATTGAAAATTCATTACAAAGACGGATCACAACAAAAAATAAATCAGATTACTGGAAATAAGAGCTTAAACAGAAATTGATTTAGACCCAAATCTAGAAGGAAAAAAAAACAAATTTGGATCCAAGAGCTTACCGGAAATCACTAGACAGAAGGAGAGAGTGAGTGACAATAACTTGAACCAGACACACTGCCAGGTGACAGCATTGGGACAGATTTATAATCTTTTTAATCTTCATTTTTCACTAACATGACTCGACAGTTACCAAGTGATTATTTGACTGACAAACACGTCTCGGAGTAGTTGCAACAAACGAATCATATATGTGCTTCTCGTCTTGCAAGGAACACCTGCTGTTGTTTTAAATCAAACGATTTGGTGGAATATCTTTCGAGTTTTTCACGTGGGAAAATACATTTTTATATTCCTGTAATATTTATTTATGTTTTAAATCAATATAATATTAGAGAAATTATTTTTTAATCATTCATGTCATATTTATTTATGTTTATTTATTAAGTTAAATAAATTATAATAAATAAAATTTTTATATTAATTCAATAATCGAATTAATACAAATATATTTGTTTGGTGATTTATATTCACAAATAAACTTAATTATTGACTCGTTTATAAACTCGTTTACTTAGTTCTTTTTTTCCTTTTATTTTTTATATTTTAAATATTAATGAAGATATAGCTAAATTGAATATAATGTGAACTTCAGAGTTTAAGTTGTAAAGTTTTAAGAAATTAAGGATTGATAGTGTATTTTTACAGTTTATAAATAATTTGACCGTATTGATTGCTTTTTTTTGTTTATTGATACCGTTTATAAAATGTGAAATTACACTACTAATCCTTAATTTCAAATAACATAGTCAAATTATTAAGAGCGTAACTTTATAATTGATATCTACAAAATGTTATTAAGAACATAACTTTTTAGGTTTGACATGTTGTAATCTAAAATGTTATATTATTTATAATATTTTTTATTATAAGCCATAAACACTCACAGGATAACTTTTTAGTTGTAACCGAAAATGTTATAAATTTATATAATATTTTAGGCTGATCATGATAATATTTTAAATTAAAATCGTCTTAAATTAATCTTAAATTAAGTTATAGCATCGCAAAACTATCTATTTTTCTAACAACATTTGATAATTTAAATTAATTTCTCCAACAATGAGTTTTTAATGGGTTAATTTCAAATCCTTATATTTTTATTAAAGAACTTTATAAATACTATTATTTAAAAATAAAAATTTAAAAAGGAGAAGGATATTATTATCTATAAAAAGGGTAGGACCTTTTTATTTATACCTTTGGACTACCCTAATTGATCTAAATTATTCTCCCATATACGGGGTCATAATATTTGCTATAATTTAAACCTTTCCTTAAATCTCTCAAAATAATTATTATTTTAACACAATCTTAAAAACAACTTAAATAATAAAAATAAAAATAAACAAAAAAAGTAAGAAATTTAAAATTCCACATGTAGATATTTTTGGTCTAATAAATTGTTTTGCCTCGCTTTTAGTCATTTTAGTTTTTTTTTTTTAAAAATCGTCTCTTTTAATTATCGAATTTATAACTTTTTTATGAAGTTGAACCGATTGGTGAATAAATTAAATTTTTTTACATCTTTCATATTTTAATTTTTACAATTTTTTATTTTAAATTTTTGTTTTATTTTATACTCAAGATGACAACATAACTGATGCAAGCACCAACACTCAAGATCAAGTTTCTAGATGTGATAGGGTGTCCTTCTTACAAGGTTCAATTACGTGAGCGAAGACGAGACGACTTAAATCCTAATTACACACGGAGGTACAAAGCTTTTTGAGCAAGGGTCTATAATCTCACTTGAAGAAGGAAGATTATCAAGAAATCTAATTTCAACCTCGGTTGTTCGATGTTGAAAACTTGAAGGTTCAAGACATCAACAATTGTTCAAGATCATGTGTTGAGAGTAAATTTCGACGGGTCACATTTATGAGTATAAACGGATCACAAGTTGCTGTAAATGGCCCATTATCAACCCGAGTTGACTCGATCTCTATGAATTTTATTTGTTGTTCTTATATTTTTTTGACGCCTACATCTTTGTAAAACAACTTGAATCCTTTTAACATTTTTTTGATAAATTTGGGGTGAATATAAAATAGTATCTATTCAAAGACTCTCAATCATTTGACAATGAATATTCATATCCTGGCATACGTTGTGCTCGAACCCGACCTAAAGGGATAACAACAAATTCCTTAACCACCGAAGTTGTTTAGTTCGTACAAATCCTTTTAATATTAAATACTCATTGAGTATATTTTTACTAGTGTTTTTACTTGCATCTTTCCGAAGTTGTTTCAACACATTTCTTACATCTTTCGTTTATCAATCTTCAAAAAATTTGTATCTTCGAGCACAGACCTTCAAATCAACTACAATGCATAGACAACACTCAAACAAACTCACGTGACTTGTCATGACGTAATGCAATAAGTAACAACTAGATTTACCTAGTTTGATAGTCTACAAATAGTCAAAATAGACTTATGACTAACACCCACTAAAAAACATTATAAATACCCAAACCAAGATTGAAATAAGGACCGAAACGTTTACCATCCTTATGTCATCTCTTTCATCTTCTATGTGCAACCATTTTTTCTACGAGAATGTTAGTCGAGGTGACTCCTTTATTGGTTGTAACTTTTTACCCAATTTAAAAGAGTTGAAGAGGTAAATTGTTAAACGATCAACGAGATAAATTCATGTATATCAATAATTTATAATAATATTTTAAATAAACAATATATTTGTTACCAAATTGATAATTAACGATGTTGTGTGTAATTTACCCTTTTTCTATATTGCATTCTCAGAAGACACGGTTAAAGAATTGCCGGATTTGTGTAGACCTCGAGAAAGTTGAGCGTATGAATCTTTAATAACGCAAAATCAAGACATCTGACAGGTTATACCTGTGCAAATTGTAATAACAAAAGCATTAAAGCATAAAACCAAACAAGGGAAGATTAACGAAGACACCACCATTTTAGACAATGGTGGCCCAACATTTGACAGTGGGGGGTGCGGGCGTTTCTGGTTTAGGCTCGTGACTACACTGCCTGTTATGGTAGTGGTACAATAGATGCTCTGTTTTTTTTGTTGTCCTCTTCTCCATTTCTGTCACATTTTTGCATTGTTGTTGTCTCGTATTTTGGATCTTTCTTCCAAGCTCAAGTATGCAGGGAGCACTTTTAACATTGTGATGAGTCTTTCACAGAGTATTTTTTTTAAAAATTTACTTTCTTTATAAAATTTTATATTCGTTCATGATTTTAACCTGAATTTATATTCATTCGCAAACAGAAAAAATGTTTGTAGGAATTTGAAAAATATAAATTTGTAGATAAATAAAATAAATATTATAAATTGATACAATATAAAATTTTAATTATTTATTATAAAATATGATAAATATTATAAAACTAATTTTATAAAAATATATAAATAATTATTTAATCATTTTTTTCATTCTCAAATGCACTGATGTTAGTGAAAACAGAACAAATTTTGAACCTAACTTAATACCGAATGTTTGGTTAAGGTATCAGAATTGAATCTTACATTCAACTAAAATCATTTATTTTATGATGATAGTGTAATACAAGTTAAACAAAAATTTTGAGAAAAATATTACAAATAATATGTCTAATCCAGTGGTTAGGTTAGGCGTCTGAGTCTAGGCCTGTAAATGAACTAAACGTTCAGCGAACCGTTCATGAACCGTGCGGCGGGAAGTTCGTTTATGTGCGTTTATTTATTAAATGAACGAACATGAACAAGATTTTATGTTCGTTTAATTAAATGAACGAACATGAACATAGGTCTCGTTCGTTCATTTACGTTCGTGAACGTTCGGTTATGTTCGTTTATGTTCATTCATTTATGTTTAACCCAATCTTCTTAAATCAATTTTGGTGACCAATATGTAAGTATCTTAAAAATATTAATTAATCTGATATTCTGATGATCAACTCCATAATTAACCCAATTTTATTTGGAGATTAAATCCAATATGTTAACCCGTGAGACACCTAGCACCTATATTCATTCCCTTTTTTTTTCTCAAACCCTAGTGTTCACTGGAAAGTGGAGACGATCATTGAAAGCTTCAAAACAAGTTATATTATAGTGCAATCTGAAGTTTGACATGTATGTTTTCATCTCTTTCTCTGTTTTATTTGACTTAATAGTTAATATGTAAAGTTATTGCGGGTATCTTCACATCTAAAACTCAAAAAAACATTATACTTCTTTCTAGAAATAGATGGGAAGATAAAGGTAACAATCAGAAGCATATGAGCATCAGTAAAGAGAAAAGTATATAAAATTTTCCAGAAAACAAAACAAAGGTTTCTATGTAATTTCTGAAAAAGAGTGTAATAGCGGAAGTAATGGGTTTTCCAAGAAGAACCCATTAATAAGTAGAAAATACACTTTGATAATGAACTTTTGTTTTCATAGTTCTTGACCTTTAGTTGTGGAGTAGACTTTAGGTACGTTAAAATTTTGAATGGTGGTTTAGTAATAATATCAGTTACGATATGCAGTATCGAAGGGATTTCGGATCTATGTTATTGTCTTGTAGTCCAATTTGTACCATTCGAAATCTTCATGCTGTTAAATTTTCTACTATGCTTTTGGAAAGGACCATTATTAACAAACTTCACTAAAGTCTGACATTGATATCACAAAATTTTTAACCGGCGAATTTATTAGAATAACGTAGTGGAAAATGATTGTTCATATGTAATCATGTACCACTAAGATAAATGTTATAGCGTTAAATTAAAGTCGTGTGAATCATTTAATATCTTTATAAGATAGATCGGAATATTTGATATCTTCAAACATTTCATCACTGTTAATCAGCTCTTACGCTATTTATCACTGTAGATTTGGTTGATTTGTATTGTCGACTATTTTTCATGAAAAAACAATGGAATGTAGGGTCTCCAACGTTTATGTTCGCGTTCAATTATGTTCGTGTTCGTTTATGTTCGTGTTCGTGTTCGTTTATGTTCGTTTATTTATTAAATGAACGAATATGAACAAGTTATATTCCTTAATAAACGAACATGAACAAAAAAAATTTTGTTTGCTTATGTTCGTGTTCGTTTAAGTTCGTTTATTTATTAAATGAACAAACATGAACATACATCCGTTCGTGTGCGTTCGGTTCATTTACAGGCCTACGTCTGACCCTATTTTCAAGGAGTCATGCTTTGGACATCATTTAATTAGTAAAAAAATCATTAAAATATCGTTAACTTATTGATGATAAAGAGAAAATGATAGAAAGAATTAAAAATATGCAAAAGTGTCATATTATGGACATGTTAGCATTAACCATGAGTGGTAAAAAAAACGAACAATGTTAAGTATAATTCTAAAAATAATAATTTAATGACCAAACTAGAAATAAAATAAGAAGTGAGTGACTAAATAAATAATTTATCCTAATAACAACATCAAACTCACAAAGACCCCGTCAATGTACGATCTTGCCATCCCCAGCTTGCATTTTCCTTCAAAAAAAAAAGTCCACATGGCATCATATTGCTTGTCACTTTTGTCCTGAGGTAATTGACATGGTCACCAACTCATCAACGTGTAAGAAAAAGCCACAGTTCACTTGTCGGCTCTAAAGGGTATTGCAGTAAATCAATGTGTGAATTATGGTAAGCAAAGGAAGATCACCTGTTAAACCCCACTGAATCTCAGAATTTGTTTGATCTTTTTGATAAAAAGTTGGTACCTTTCTTTCTACTTACTGCGGAAAATCTCTCTTAAGTCAATCCTAAGCGCACCGAACAGGAATCCCACATCGGATAATGTTAGGATTTGTAGCGGATACCGAAACAGAGGAGGCAGAAACAAAGCTTAAGCTCCTCCTTCAATGGTGAACTCTAAGCTTAGTGCTGTTTTTATCACCGTTGTTTTCATCTACTTCACAGTTCCTTCAACAGGTAATGTCTGGAAAAAAACCCCAAGTTGGAGAAACCATTGTTTTCTTAGGTTTTGTAGTTGTCTTCTTATTTTTTGCAGCAAATCAAGAACAAGACAAAGAACCGTTTGTGGGAGTTAACATAGGAACGGATGTTTCAAATCTGCTGTCTGCAAAGGATTTGGTTTCGTTCTTGCAGGTGCAGAAAATCTCACACGTTCGACTCTATGATGCAAATCCGAATATACTCAAAGAATTAGCAAACACAAAGATTAGGGTCATCATCAGTGTGCCAAATAACCAGCTTTTGGCCATAGGTTCATCCAACACCACGGCGGCTTCTTGGATCAACCGAAACGTCGTCGATTATTACCCCGAAACGCTCATCACTCATATCGGCGTCGGGGATGAGGTTTTGACGACAGTACCGTCTTCGGCTCCTTTGCTGCTGGCTGCAATTCAGTCTCTTTACAGTGCTTTAGTGGCTGCAAATTTGCATACTCAAGTCAAGGTTTCAACACCACATGCAGCTTCTATTGTTCTCGATAGTTTCCCTCCTTCTCAGGCTTACTTTAACCAAAGCTTGATTTATGTTATGGCACCTTTGCTTCAGTTCTTATCAAAAACTGGATCTCCATTGATGATGAATCTTTATCCTTATTATGTGTTTATGGAGAATAAAGGTGTGGTTCCACTTGATAATTCGTTGTTTAAGCCTTTGACGCCGTCGAAAGAGATGGTCGATCCGAATACTTTGTTGCACTACACCAATGTGCTTGATGCAATGATTGATGCTGCTTATGTTTCCATGAAAAACTTGAATGTTACTGATGTTCCAGTGCTTGTTACCGAGAGCGGTTGGCCTTCGAAGGGGGATTCGAAAGAACCTTATGCTACTATCGATAATGCGGATACGTATAATTCGAATCTTATTAATCATGTTATAGATCACAGTGGAACCCCTCTGCATCCGGAAATCACTTCCAGTGTGTTCATATATGAGTTGTTCAATGAGGACTTGAGGTCGCCCCTGGTGTCCGAGGCGAGTTGGGGGTTGTTTTATTCGAATTCGACGACGGTGTATTTGCTTCATGTGTCCGGGAGTGGGACCTTTTTGGCTAACGATACGACCAATCAGACTTATTGTATTGCAATGGACGGGTTCGATTTGAAGACGTTGCAGGCGGCTTTGGACTGGGCTTGTGGTCCTGGGAGGGCGAATTGCAGCGAGATTCAACCGGGGGAGAGCTGCTACCAGCCTAATAATGTGAAAAATCATGCTTGTTATGCTTTTGATAGCTATTATCAAAAGGAAGGGAAAGCTCCTGGGTCCTGTGACTTTAAGGGTGTTGCAATGATAACTGCCACTGATCCAAGTAAGTGTTTATCCCAATCATTCCTCAAAAGAAAATTGCATTCAACTTTTCTTGTTGGCTTGTAGCCATAGGTGGTTCAATCTTTTCCTTTGATCAAGGCTCTTAGAACATTATCCGGACATCGTAGTCTAAAAGAATTGCGCATTTACCATTGACTAGAACGACGTATTAGTCAATCAAGTGCAGAGTTCTAGCACTTTGCAGGTTGTTTAGTTCCTCAAATGTGTTATGAACTTGCATTTCTTTGCACCAGAAAGTTGCATAACCCCAAATATTTAGGCTTTAGAGTATGGAATAATTGCATTTCCAAGTTAGAATTCATGTAGGGATGCTCACTGGGAAAAAGGGTCGGGTCTTTTGTGATTGAAAGGTGAAAAAGGGTGTGGAAAAACAGTTTCTTTTTTGAGAAGGAACTATTATATCATTTTCGGCCCTGCTTCTGTAACGCACTTCACCACACGCCACTACCGCACTAGGCCATCGACTCATCTGCGTGTCCAGATTTCCTCAACAACAGGCTTTCTACTTGCATACATGCTAGCAATCATCTTCTATTATCGTACGAATCCAACATGTTTTTTTTCCTTTATGAATTTGTGGGGTATATTTGCAGGTCATGGGAGTTGTGTCTTTCCAGGAAGGTGAGTCACTCCAGCCATTCTAAACACTCTAGTTCACATTTTGGTTAAACAAATTGCATAACGTTCATAACATAGAATTTTCAATTCCGGCTTTGCAGTAAGAAGGTAGTCTACAAGACGAGAGCGGTCGTAAACTCTACAGAAGTAAGCAGTGGAGCCGAAAGGCTAAAACTCTTTCCTTTCCACACCAGCCAAATACCTGCAACCACAATAGCTTTCTGTATTTCGTTGTTCATTCCTTTGATAAGGAAGAAAACGAACCAATGTATCATTATTTAGCATCGAATTCGCCGGGGAGAAGAGGAGCCCTTGTTGAATGAATCTGTTGATTGAGAGTTGGCATTATATGTTATTGAAACAATGATTGTGAAGGCTAGGAATTAGCAGAAAGTGTGATGATAGTGCAGCATGCAATCAATAAAGTAGGAGCAGTGGGATCAATTTTGGGCACTTTTTGTTGTTGCCAACATCAATACATCATGAGACTTTGTTGGAACAAAAACAACTTTTTAGTGAATCTAAATGCTTTGTATTTGTTTCTGAATAGTTTTGTGTTTATTATGTTAGAGATTACGATACCATATCGATACGGTATCGGTGCTCAATTTACGTAGGTCTCATACCAGCAATGTTTTAAGTTACCCCCACAGGACTTGGACATAGTACCAAGCACCGACCGTTTCTCCATGGTTTAGGAGCGTTTCCAACTTTATACTTTTGGATTAGGCCAGTTAGTGTAGGGTATTTGTGCCTAACAAGGTTGGAAAGGGAAGGAAAAGATTAGAAGAAAATGATGTTTCTTTACCACTATGAAAAAGCATCTCGTTAATTAATGATCTTTCTTTAATCTAATCTATTGAGAGAAAGTTAGGCATAATATTAAAATTAACCTCACATGTTTATTAAAATGGTTATTTTAGTTTTCTTTTTTTTGGAGTATTTTGACTTTAACTGAAGGCGAAAAATAAATCATGTAGTTAACGCTCTAAAATATGGAGTTTTTTACCTAGAAAAGATATGGTGAACTGCAGGCTTTGAAGCACGATAATTTCCCAGAAATGTCTGGGTTTGGTTTATTTTTCCCGGAGGATTTACCACTAACATCTTGGAAGCATCCTACGATTATATAACCTTCAGAAGAGGAAGCGATTCCAAATTTTTAGTACTTGGCGAAGCTTATCGATTCCTCCTTCCACTGTCGTTTAATGGAATCATCATCCATAATCCCATGAAACTTTTCTCGAACCAAGCATGAAAATTGGGCAAAATTTCAATATTTTTCCTAGGAATTTTCTTATTCATATATGGGAATAATTGGAATTGAACATAGCACAAACAATAAGACAACAGCATGTTCATGTAATGTCATGTCAGTTAATAGAAGATCCAAGACATTGGTATTTTGATTGCAGAGGTTAAAGTGTAAATTTTGATCTTTAGGATGATGGCTTGTAATATTTTGTTGGTACAAAAGACATTTTTGTGACAACTCCATCATAGGCCTTCCTCCTTACCAAAATCTAAGCTTTGGTGCCTGCCTTGTGTAATCCGGATTTCACATATACCATTTGTATGTTCTTCTTCAGGCATGGACTGAACTCTCCGCTCGGGAATTCGCCTGATCGAAGGACCCTCTGCTAGTTATTCCATGTCATTGCCATGTGGCCCATGTTAGTCCAGCTTCGACCGGTGTTATATGTTGTTCTACGTCATTGCCATATAAATATAACCCGTCTTCGAGTCGGAGACTGTCTCGAGCTCCGAGTCCTGTCAACCTTACCTTCCCTTTGGATTTCTCCAAGATTGCTTCAGCAAGATCCACAGCATTTTCTGAAGGAACCTAGATTTCAAATCCGTCCTCACTGGTGTACCTGAAAAATCGACTTGCCAACCAAATCATTACTCTTTGAATAACAAGAAGAAACGAAATCGAGTGTTACCCTGTCCAAGTGAGATAACATGTTGCACCATTGATATCCATTGAAGAACCGGGGCAGCAAGAGGACCCTGTGACAGAAAGAAACATATGACTGTTTAAATGCTACACTCTCAATAACCAGCAAATCCGTGCTAGCTGACCAACAATCACCGGAAAATTGCTTGAGGCAAAACGACCAGAGACGTAAAATTCAAAGGCTCTAGCGATTAACCTGGAGAGCTAGAAGAGATCTCTCATCATGGATGTGCCGCAAGACATCCCTGCCTTTGGTCTTGAATGCCTTCATATGCTCTTCAATGTGAGCCAGATCCTTATCCCTGCAGCCTGCATTCACAACCAGGTATATTTATGATTATCCTTCACTTCGGTAATCACAGAATCGTCGATTGCCCCACCCTTCTCATTCGTAAAGACGGTTAGAGTTCCGGTTCCGGGGACAAGGCCAGTTACATCAGCAATGACAAGCTTTTCAACTTTCAAGGAATGGAACACAGTCCTTTCCCTTAAGGCTCAGCCCACGGGAAACATTAAAGAGTCCACCATTCACCCTGCAATTCACGGTTGACTCCATAATCGAGTCCTTGTACTGAATCAGCATGCTCCATTGGGCGAACGAGACCATCTTACCGCCATTAGCAACATGGAAATCATAAAGAAGAGTCTTTTTCAGATCAGCCTCCGATGCAAAGTACCGACGTGCTACGACCTTCTTGTCAGCCCGAGCAAGACACGGCTAATCGATTGCACGAGTAGCCAAAAACTTCCCCTCATCTTCTAAAGCTGAAAAATCTGATGAAAGAATAAGAATGTTGAGAAAGACAATACGGTAATACTAAGAACAACATTCACTTGCCACTATCTCGACAGCATTATTGAACGAAGTCCTTCTCAGAGCATTCGAATTCGAAGGAGAAAAGTGATTCTAACAGTATTGAGCCTATATGGGGTTCAACGACACAGAATCTAATGAATCGATGTTACAAATCCAACACCAAATTACAAACTAAAACACCAAATGGATTTCTTGACAGATGATAACCCGATAAACGATCTAATATCACTAAATCATCATTGAAGCATCCACTAGAGACATTCAAAACAAATAATCCGACCATATACGATGAGAACCACGACTAACTCGACTTAAAAAGCATATTCAATAGACACTAATCGGCTCGAATTTCATAAATTTGGCTCCATTAAAAAATTCAAATAGAGTTTGAGTTATAAAATAAGACTCATCAACTAGACTAACTTGACTTTTTTAAATCAATTTAACTCGACTCGGTCGAATACTCAGCCCTAGCATGAATACATCTTTATCCTATCTTACGTAAAAAATCAATATTAGATATTAGGGTAGAATTTAAGCCCAAAATAAATTAAAGATGTGATTTTTATTGGGAACTTGGAAGTTGAGGGTCTTGATGAGTGATTTAGCCATTATTCAAAGCATGATCTTCAGGTTTTGTAATGGGACTTTGTTTGGATGTGAATATAAACGGGACATGAGCAGAATGACATTGTTGCATATCTAACCCGTAAACATTTTATTTCTTCATAATATTATTTTTTTATCAAATAATTAATCTTATAAATAAAATAATAGAAATTAGAGTTAATGTAAATTAAATAAACGCAGACTTGAAATCGTCTGAGATCTTGTAGCCGCAAACCTTATAATTTTAACTTGATCCAGTAGAGTAATATGCTAAACTTTTCCAGACCTTGACTAGAAAAATAGAACATTTACATTGTTATTTTTTCATAAGCACGTTTCAGATACTTTCAAAGATCAACAATCTTAGTAGTTTCGATGAAGTTTAATATTATTGGCATGGGAATGTTAGGATTTTGCAGATTTTTTAAAATCCCAGAACGGCTATCGATTCCACAAAGAACGAATGGATTTACATTAAAAATGCTTAACCACGGGTTAGATATGGTTTAGGGTTCTTCGTTCTACGCAGCAGTTTTGGCATTTTGGGAATAGTTCTACGCAGAGTTTTGACATGTTATACATTAGCTAAGACAAGAAGACAACCTTGGTTTGTCCCAATGCTGTTGTCTGTTTGAAGATATGTCGTTGAAAGTCAGCGAATCAAGCCCCCTGCTGGTGACTTGACTCGGCCATCTGATCTTGTTCATACCTTCAAGCTTCAACGACTACACCGATATATATATATATATGGTCTCTGGAAACCTTCAAACTTCGGTCCGATCGAGTTTGTTAAAATTAGCAGCTGTTTATTAGTCAAGGTCATCACACAAATCTTTCACAGTAAGCAACTTACCACTGTGGAAGGGAGCTTTTTCTTCTCGATAAGTCCTCAACACCCGCTCTCTTACAAGAAAATCGTCCACCAACAACCCTATCTCCAAACTAAAAGAACTAAACTGTCAACGATTGACTAGACGAATTTGTTCCATCAACAACGTGCTCTCTTACAAGAAATCCGTTCTTCTTCAAATCGAATTCGCTTTAGTTAAACCTTTCGGATTGAAAAGCCAAAGAAACAGCCATGGCAGGTCTTGAAGTTTCAAGCAGCATGTTGTTTTCAAAGAGTAATTTGCCTTCGTTGTGTTGTCGTCGGGGAATAGTCGGCTCGACCCTTAGCGCGCCGAGGGTCCATCTATGTCCAGTCTTTCTCCCGAAGCTCTCTAGCAGAGATTTGGCCGATGAACTCGCAAGAGAACCGGTTACCCGATTGCTAGACAGACAAAAAATTCATCTGATCGTCAAGTGATTGCCAAGCTTTATGCAATCATGGAGGCAGTTGCGGATAGGGTGGAGATGCATAACAACGTAGGAGATCAGCGTGATAATTGGAACCGACTCCTTTCGACTTCCATCAATACGATGACTTTAGCTGGCGCCACCATGGCCGGACTAGCCGCCACAATTGCTGCAGAAGGGGCTCCTTTTACGGCACTCAAGCTATCCTCCATTGTGCTTTACGTTGCAGCCATGGGGTTGTTGCTGGTTATGAACAAGATTCAACCATCCCAACTCGCGGAAGAAAAAAGAAATGCATCGAGATTGTTCAAGCAGCTTTATTTTCAGATTCAAACAATGTTGTCTCTTGGCAAACCAGATATCAGTGACGTTAATGAAGCAATGGGGAAAGTTTTAGCACTCGACAAGGCATATCCACTTCCTTTAATGGGTTCCATGCTTGAAAAATTCCCTTCGGAAGTTGAACCAGCAAGGTGGTGGCCAAAACAAAGGCAAAAGCAAGTGTTTTTCGGGGAAAATATGGAGGGAAACAATGGCTGGAACAGAAAGCTAGAGGAAGAAATGAAGCAAATTGTTAAAATTTTGAAGAAGAAAGATTTGGCCGAGTACATTGATTTGTGCACCAAAGCACTGAAACTTAACAAAATGTTGGCAACATCTGGTCCCTTATTGACCCTTTTAGGGGTGTTGGGGTCTTCCTGTATGAGCACTACCCACTGCTCGTGGCCAGTGATGATCGGAGTCATAGCAGGCGCGATGGCTTCTGTAGTGAACACGGTGGAAATATATTGACACGTGTTTGTCATTTTCTGATTAAATGGTTAATTTATTATATTAAATTAAAATTAAGACCAAATTAATTGAATGAATAAATATTAAAGATCAAATATGTAATTATATTAAATTTATAATTAAAACCACTTAAATTTTTATAGGATTATATTTCTAAAATTAAAAACATAGTGGTTATATCCATACTGATCTTATAGTAAAATGGTCATTTGAGTCATGTACGCTTTAAAAAATTATGTTAAACGTATTTTCAAAAGACGCTTTTGATAGAAAATGTCATATATCGATGTGACATAAATTGATCAGAACTTTTAATGTTTGAGTCAAAATAATAAAAGGAAAAAATATAAGGGACCTTGTAGAAAATAACCCAAAAACCTTTAACATAAAATTCTACGATGCTCACGAGAACCGCGGTCCTCCTTCATTATTGAAAAACTGATCTGATTTGTGCTTTACGGTGTTGGGTTCCATTGTTACTGAAAAAAAGAAGAAGCTTGCTTTACGCTCTTAATTTTGATCCTTTTGTGGGTTTCCAGTAAAAGGAAATAGCGTTTAAAGATGTTCCAGTTGTTGTTTATTGTTATATTCGTAGAGATGGTGGTGATCGTCTCATTATCCTTCAAAACTCCGTTAAGGAAGCTGATATTGCTGATTCTGGATCGGGTCAAGAGGGGAAGTGGTCCGGTGGTAGTGAAGACGGTGGCCGGAACAGTGGCCGTTGTGATGTTGTCGTACGTTTACAGCATGATGATGATCAAGAAGCGTTGGATCGAGGATGGAAACGTTTCTCAGACCGACGAGATTCTCATGGCCAAAAACCTCCTCGAAACTACTCTCATGGGTAATTTAATTCTTTCTCACTTCGAATTTATTGGAACCCTAACCCTAAAATTCACTTATATTCGGGATTTCAATGTGTTTTGTGTAATGTCATATGAAATTCTGAATTAATTTCGAAATTATTATGATTGAGCTTATTGTTTGAACTTTGTTACCAAAAATGGCTCTCTCAATTGATTTTCGAATCAATTTGTACAATCTCAATCAGAGAATGCTAGCTATCCCATTCATTAACACTTACATATAGTTTATTTTTAAGTTATTGAGTAAAACAGACAATGGTTTACGTTCTGATAAATTATATTCCGCTACTGCTAAATGAAATGGAGAAGATTGCTCTATTGAATTACATTTCATATAAGTGGAGATTTGAATTTCATTCCTCGTACCTGACCGATTTGTTCTAAAAAGAATCCTGGTTCTAAATTCCAAGACTAAACACCCTTTTAATTTTTATCCAATTTCCAAAATGTATACATTGTTTTTCTTGATGTTATGGTTATTTACTTCTCATATTAATTCCCAAAAGTTGCCATTGTAGGCTGTATGGTTATTAGGATATGAGCTCCAAATACATGGAAAAACTTTAAAAAATCTAACTATATCCGTGTTGGATAAATACTCGTATTCGACACTCGCACCCGAGTTCGAGTGATGTAGATTGTAGGCTTCATAATTCAGCTTGAACTTGATTGGGGCAGTCTCTGACTTCCTTTAGGTCTGATGAACTTTGTGTTTGTAATGGTGGGTTAACATTTTTTTTGCAGGGGGGTTGCTGTTCCATGCATATATTATAGACAAATTACACCATTATATTAAAGAACTCCGTATAAGAAGGAAGACGATGGAGACTGCCAAGAAACAAGGTCAGGGATTTGAAGATGCAGGTCGGTCGGGAACAGACAAAGTTACAGCCTTGCAGGAAGAAATAGCCACTCTGAGGGCAAGGATTAGGCAGCTGGAATCTGACTAGAGCTTGTCACATGCAAGTGGTAAGAAGAACGAAATACCAAAGGAATTTGAGCATCTCTTGCAGTTTCATTAGCTTTTTTCAAATAAAGTTTCCGCAGGAGTCTTGTAATGGAGTTTGTTTGTTGCAGTTTAGTTTCAGTTCATGAATTATGCCGAACAGAGTAATATGTTGAATGAATCAATGGATGAGTTTTGATATTTGATCCGAACAAAATGTTTGATACTCGAGTTACATTCGAATATTGTTTTCAGAATATGATCCTTCAAATATCTTCTAAAATACATGGGAAATCTTTATATTCCTGTCAGACACATACTTGTATTCAATACCGTATTCATGTACAAGTGAATTGGATTTATTTCGGGACTCGAGCAGCTGATTTCAAAGTTATTGAAAAACACAGCATGGATCATCGTGTTGTGCAATAGCTGGTCGGCGTTGGCAGCAGTGAGCATCGTTAAGCCAAAAAAAATATTCATGTTCAAGTGAATTGGATTTATTTCGGGACTCGAGCAGCTGATTTCAAAGTTATTGAAAAACACAGCATGGGATCATCGTGTTGTGCAATAGCTGATCGGCGTTGGCAGCAGTGAGCATCGTTAAGCCAAGCCAGAAGAGACATTACTGATAACACAAGCATTAGCAAAGTTGCAACATGAGATTTCACCTCTTGTGCGTATTGAACAGCAGCCAAGGCAATGAAGGTTAATGGGAACGAGTATGCCCACCATGCAACATTGAATTTCCTCATAGATTTCTGGAAAAGAAATGGCCTGCACCCCTTTAAAAATCAACCACTGTAAAAATCATTACATATATACGTGTGTGTGTGTTTAAAGTTGTTTGCGGTGAATTTACCAGAGAAATGAAGAGGAACAAGGAGAAGAAAAACATCTTCGATGTGTTGTCGAAAGCTCCTGAAATGGAGTTCCAAGCAAAACTAGCCATGCTCGGAGCAGCAAAGAACAAGAAGAACGTTGGTCGTAAAATCACTGGAAGGGAATTCGGACCTGACAAGCGTTGATAGAGAGTAACAAAGAGTACCAAATAGTGAACTATACCAAGTGACCACATACAAACAGTACTCTCTTTCCACCCCATCTCCGCTGCAGCTCTAGCTGTGACCAAGTTCCCAATCACCGATATCTGGCTAGTCGGGTTTGCCATTACCAACAGAAACCGTTTCTCCGTCGTGAACCATTGTCCGTATATCTTAATATCGAGCACTGCCAAAGGAAACAATAAAGGTCTAACAGAGAATCAGAGAAAGAAAGCTAGTATTCGGAGGGAGAACCGGTGCAGATTGAAGCAAAACAAGCCATGAGATCCAAGGAGCATACAGATAGTTAACTCCGCTACGGTGCAAGGACTCCGCCTTAACCAACTGAAAGTGAAAGTACACCGGAGAACGTACACGAAAGACGGTGAAACCTGTGTTAAAACAGCCAGACACCATAGCAGCAAACAAACTGTTGGTGGGACCTTGCCAAAAACATGCGAGAAGACATCCGGAGAAACCCCATCTGGTCGGATCAGAATCTTTCATAACAAAGCTTGGCTTCCAAGAGAAAGGCTTATCCTAAAATACCCTCACTCAAAAGGCGCATGGCAGCTCCCCTTGAGAACTTCCTGGTGAATAAAAAGCAAGGAACGAATGTAGAGTTAACTCGACACCACTCTGTCCGGGATTCACTCTCGTAGTATATATGGTCGATGTCCTGTTCGAATAATCAGAGTAGTTGGAATTGTTGAGATACAAGGTGTGGATTAATGGACCATGAAAATATGTCAATTTAGACAATAAAGAACTATGCAAAACTGAGCAACATAAAGATCAGAATATGACTATCAAAAAGCAAATGCATAAAGTAGAACACATTGATTTCAAATGTAACACATTCATAAAAATCATGTACGAATTACAAAAATTGAAGAGATTAATTTCACTTATCAAGAATATGGTTAGAGGATAACCATTAGAAAGCAAAGAAAACCCAGAAAATAGTTCGGGAAAAGAGAACATGCAAGAATGAGATATACTGATTCATTCTTACCGCAAACAATGTTGGCACGTAATGTTCATCTGGGATACAATTATGCTGTTTTTGAAGTTTCTGCACAGTCAAAAGTAAGTCATCAATCACATTGAAGAAAGCGGATTCTCGGTCACAATTCAATATCTGAAAGAACACTGGACTGTATTTGCAAAACACTAGAAAATATGACACCTATGGGAATAAGATCTCACTACTAAATCAATGTTATAGCCCCTGAATCGACTATCAAAACTGATAAAAAGGCTCCTATTAATCAACATCATTGCATTCATTTTGGGAATTGAACTCTTACAATATTCAGCCTTCCTTTACCGGTGTCCACAGGAGGGCGTCGCTGCAAACCAATAAGTAAATTTAAGTTTCAGATTGCCATTCCATATGATCCAATATCTTATCCTAGCAACATGCCAAATAAAGGGGGGATATCTCTAAAAAGACATAATTTGTGGATAGGAATATTTTACAACAATGAGGAGAAAATTGATGGAAAGTAAACACATAACATGCTATAATCAACAGCACACCTTGCAGAATTTCTTAAAGACCGGAAGAAAAACCTCATCATCTACGACGACTTCGGCATGGCTCCTTAACAAAAGAATGGTTTTGATCCCTTGCGTTATTGGTCCGTTTGTTTTTATTCCTTCAGTCTTTAACTCATTAATCCTTTAACAGAAGTTTAATTTAACGGTAGTTAACGGTCAAAGGACTAAAATCGAATAGATCGATAACATAATCAAACTAATGATTAAAATCGAACGGACCGAATACATAAGAGATCATCCATATAGTTTACCCAAACAACAAAATAGGCATTTCAATTTTCAAACTTCAGAGCTCGTGTTGTATGATTTCATACATGAAACATCCGCCTCTGTACTCTTTTATATGAATTTTAGTTTATGGAAATAAGTTTATTTTGTCGGCATTAAGTGATTTATTGTTTTTAATTTGGATAAGGAATCGTGGTCGATGAAATAATGATCATTGACCGGTGTTTCTTTGTGACAAATGAACTTATAAGGAAGAATATGGAAGTAGAGGAGGTGAAGTGGTGTCGTCCCCCTCCTCGATCATGGAGGAAAGGTATTTGTAGTGGCCCTTGTTCATAGTGTCAATCATAAAGTCTATGACTACTCATAAGTCGATAGGTTAAAAAGATCTGATTGTTAGATTTTGAATTTCGCTTTGGTAGATCATATGAGCCTGTCAGAAGTTTAATTTATGCACTGTACTTGATTCGGGATGCTCATGTACCTGAAGAATATAGGTTCCTTGAAAGTTCCAATATTCTTTTATCTAGAAGTCTTGATGGACAAAAAGTTAATAACTTCCGAAGGTGACCTCTGTAGCTATAATAATTTGTAATGTGGGTGCATAAGGCGAAAGCAACAAGGCAAAATCAGTATACGGATCTGTCGTATGTATAGCTAAAGAGAAAATGTCGAGCGGCATTTGCTCAAAGAATAAAACCTTATATGCTGCAGTAATGAACTCCATCATTGCAGAAATTCCAGTATTGAACCTTGTTCCTTCAATTTCATCTGTCAACTAGTTAAAAAAACATAACCAATCATCTGTCAGGAGAGCAAACCAGGAATCTTAGGTTTCAATACTCATGTTACTTGTGCACTCTTAAATTGATAAAATACACGTTTGGATCAAACTGAAAAAACATGATCCGATCTGGAGAAATTTGTGAACATAAAGGCATAATGAATTGCACATTAAGAGCATACTTCTTTGCAGATAATGCAACATTTACACAGTTAATCAGATGTCCAGATGATAAAAACCGAAGTGTAGATATGACCTTAGCTATGCATTTATGAAGTGCACGAAGCTGTTCCGTTGTAGGTTCCTCATCAGCAACCACTGTTCCATCTCTGAAAGCAGCATGATGCAATGGTGTGCCAACAATCAGCCTCCAAGTTCTTCCTAAAAATCGATGGACTCCTTCAATTCCAGTAGTTTACATATAGTCAGGATGATCCTACTATTGACAACTGCATAAAGAGTCACTATAAAATCTATCGACTATAATCGAGAGACGGAATACAACCTTCGATAAAACCATCTCACCCTTATTCATCTCTGTTCTACCTCATTACGGAGACAAACTAAACTAAATAAATCGCTTACAGGCTTCACAACCTATTTGTCTTAAACTCTTACTGCATCTCTACAGAAGCTTTCAGCCATCACAACAGTATTACCCCAGCACAATTTGGGAATAGTATCTGAAAGACGAGCAATCTTTATGTTTAGGTTCTATATATGATAGATTCGGTCCTATTCTAGCCCAAAACAATCAGAATTAATACAATAATAGCAATCCCGAGTAAAACATTCAAGAAGACACTCATTTTTCATCCAATAAATCAGCATTCAAAAGAAAATACATGAAGAAATGTTCAATGGCGCTATATAAACAGTTCTACATGTTAAGTGACCCACTGCTACCGCAATAAGAGAGCAAAAGAAGAGTGCGAGGAACTGGTCGAAGAGGAAATAGAATCGAGATAGGGATAAACTGATTGCTTCTTTTAACTTGGGCCGTAACATTTGATTTTGTAAAGAAATTTATGGGCTAACGACTGTTAGGTTGTTCTCTTTTTCTAATATATATATATGAAGCCCATTTTAGCCGGAAGTGTAATTTCCAACGTAGATGCCGAGTATTAGCAGGGAAGGACATGAGGTGGATCGGATCAGATTTTTGACGACTCAAATATGATCTAGGTAATTGTTTTTTCCTTTTTACTCATATATGAACTGATTGGATTTTAAGGAGGTTTTACCTTAATCGAAACTCGCACACTCAATCAGAGACAAATATGTATAATTCTTATTTTAATTAGTTAAAATAGTGACCTAATTAAAAAAACATATAGAGATATTATTACAATTATCCATAAATGTATAAAAAAGATTATACTATTATCTCGAATCAAATATTTTTACCCCAACCTTAAATCAATCAGACTCAATCTTATCCTTTAAAAAAATTCGTCTCAATCTAACTCGAACTCAAATTTAAAAAAGATCCTATCATTTTAGAACAAAATCCGCCAGATTCAGATGCAATATCATCCCCATGTATTGGTTATAAAATTCGTCGGCAGTTGTCGATAATTTCAAAATAGGAAATAAAAAAAATATATAAAAATAAATTGAATAAAATATAAATTAGAATAAAATAAATTTATTTTACCTAAAAACATATGTATTTATGTGTTAGAGACATATATTAATATAAATACGAGCCGATAATTGTTGTAGTCTACAAGGACGAACGTATAATTTTATGTTAAGACCGAGTGAATTTATAAAATTTTAAGGAGATAAAATCAAACTTCCAAAAACAAATTAAAAAAAATCTAAAATATATGATTTTGAAATACGCGACATCCCATCTACTTCACTCAATCTATCCCTAGTTATAGGTGTAAATTTTTGCACTCAAAAGTTGTTCTTGTACAACCTTAATGCGAAACACGCAACAACATAATCAGTGTTGTTTTAGTTTCAAAAAGCTTTAAAATTTCAGACAAAACCCCAATGGAGAAGGGTACTAAATTGGTCCTAATCAGATGCATGAAACCTGCTTTCAGAAGAACCTTAATTTTATAATCCAATGGCCAGCTTTTATTTACCTTATACAATAATATGATCCTCATGTGAGTCTACTTGTAATCCATGTATCTTACTTATAATTCTAGAAGATGACAAACATACGAAGTACACATAATTTGACCACCGCTTGCATTCTTTGCTTCTTCCCATATTGAGATGGCTCGAAGAGGGTTGACAGCAGTCGTATTTTTGTTTCTTTCGAAATTCTAGATTTTTATTTAATTTAAGTATTTTTATATTTTTATTTATATTCTTAAAATTTTAATATATCATCTTAAAAATCCGTACCTTCTAATATAAAACCGTGTGTTTGTCTATGTTCTCATATGCGGGTATAAGGATGATAATCTGATCAGAATCCAATGGATTTAGATTCAACTCAACTTAACACGACGCGAGATATTTATATAAAATTCGGGGCAAAATTGGTTTTGCAAAACATGAGATCTGGTTCAATTTTATGGTGAAAAATCTTTGATTCAACCTTACACGAGATAATTATATAACTTTTTTCTACATATTTAGAAATAATAGCAAAAATAATTTGTTATATGCATATTAGATCGGATATGAATTTTTACTTCAAAAATTTAGTTTTAATAGGATCTCCTTAAAACTCAGATTAAATTTTTGTGTAAGAATATATTTTTCAAATCAGATCATATTGATAAAATCTGACCTAACCCAGTTTGTTTTAAACCGTATATATTTATATATTGCGGACAATAAGCTTCCTATTCATGCTACGTCGTAGACATTGATAATTTAACAATGCAAACTGCAAAAATAACTTCTATCAAGCACCAAATCAAACAGTAAGCTTCCTATTCATGGTTCGATGGCGCTTGCATGGGAAGGTTATTCATAAGATTGATTCTGTCAACAGTCATTTGAGTACTGCTTGGAGATTATTATAGGATTTTCCATAAGATTGTTATGGAACTGGGTTTTTGTTTGTTTTGAGTGGCTTGGCTGCTGTTAGTAATTCTTTGGGAGATTATGTATTCATTGTAGTATTTGTTTTTCTGGATAAAAAAAGATGCATTTATCTATATAAAAAAATAGAAATAGTATCAGATGATATCTTTCTTTAGTTTTTCTTGAAATAATGCAATTTTTTTAAGATCCAGGGGTGGACCGAAGAGTGGTCAAGGATCAGATCGAATTTTTTTGATCTATTCGAATATAATTTGAATACAATCCTCTTTTATTTATCAGTTAACTCAATCTAGATTTAACGAAGATTTATCCTACTTAAAATTCAATTCGACTTTGAAGGTAGAAATTTGTATCTGATTCGATCTAATATATATATTTCTTATTTTTATTAAATAAAATAGAGACCTAACTAAAAAAATATAAATAGATAGGTATAATAGTAATTATCTTCAAATATATAAAGAATGATTATACTATTATTCATAGTCGGGTCAAATATTTTCACCATAAATTTAAATTTAATTCGACTCAAACTCAATTTTTTTTTTAAAATCAAGTTCATCGGAATTAATATAGTTCGTGTCAAATATTCATCCAAAAGACAATTATATCTTAAAATCTTCAAATTCTTATTGTTTAAGCCTTTTTTATAATCTAATTTTATATTGTCAAATATTTAAAATTTTATACCTTAATATCAAATTTTAGGTCTGTCTCTAACAAGGTCAATGATTAATTCATTTAATTTTATTTAATACTAATTTATTGATGAATTATTATTGGAAAAGCCAAAACTGAAATAGCTGGAGGTTCCTTTCAATCATCAACGCCCATAAAAGGTGATTCAAAAAGCGGCTTTTTTACCCCATTGACACCGTTTATTTTTATTTTTACTTTTCTAACACCGTTCGACCAATATTTCCAAAACTAGCACCCTTTCTGCTGAGTTGGCAAAGGCGCGTCCCCGGGGGCGCGCTTTACCCGTGTTTTCGCTGAGTTGGATGCCACGTGTGAAAGGCGCGTCCCCGGGGACGCCTTTGCCATATCAGCAGACACGTGTGGAAGGCGCATCCCCGGGGACGCGCCTTCCATAAATGTCATTAATGCCCCCATCCGTTTTTCCTAACTACCCCCCTCCCCTCCCTATATAAACCCCCTCAACCCTCACTCATTCTTCACACCAAAATCATCTTCTCCTCTCTTATATAACTC